TACAATGTTCCTTTCTCATTATTCCGGCTCGCTGAAGAGTTTTTGCTTGAAGAAAGCATTTTGCACGTGTGTAGTATTTTTTAGGAGGTTATTACTTGTGCTCCCCCCATCTATCTCACGCAAAAGGTACCGTGGAAGCTCATAATACATTGTGTATGAGCTTGTTTTTCTTCCATTAAAAGAAATTTTTTTTTTTTTTTTTTTCTTACTGTTTTTGTGTGATATTATGTGATTTCTTGGAACTGCTGTATTTTTTGTTTTTCTGCTTTACCGTGTTCCGTTTTCACACTTAGGCCCGTAATGCCCATGTGATTTATCTGTGTAGTAGAGTGGTTTGTTGAGGGTGTACTGTAGAAAAGAGGTTCTTGTAATACGGAGACATTGGTATTTTTGTGATTGGGTGGGTTTGCGTTGAACGTGGAATGGAAAAGCAAGTAAATATAATGAGCAATTAGTCAATAATCATAAATGTTTTATTGCGATGATGTTTATTATTTATTATTCATTGCGTGATTACTGTGATTCATATATTTATTTGTGTTATTTTTTTGTTTTCTACCTCAATTTGTATTTCCATTTTTCACCCTTTCTTCAATTTATTGATTATGTTGTTGCTACTTGAGTGAAATGGTGTATTTCTTTGCTTTTGAGGGGCTCAATGCACCGTACAAAAACCTCTCCTTTATTGTTCTTAATTTTTCCTTCTTTCTATATCTATATATATATATATATATACATATGAATGTATAGGAATTAAATCATTGCCATTTTTCCTTTTTTAATCAGTCCCTTCCACCCCTTTCCTATACGTTTCCCAACGTGCTGGGAGGGTTTTACCCGTTCCATTTTTACTACTATTCACACTATAATGTGTATCCTTGGGTAGTTCATTCCACTTTTCCACCCCTTTCTTCTTTTTCTACTCACATTTGGCCCCTTTCAGAACAATAAAAAAAAGGTAGTGTCAGGAGCAAACACATATATTTGTTTGTTAATTTATTTGTTTTTATTTTGTTTTTGTTTAACGTAGAATAAAAAAATCTAACAAGGAGGGGTCTAAAAGCCAAAAACCCCATCAGAAAACTGCCTAAATATAACAAGATGACCTTGGTACAGAGTCTTCTGGAAAGATTACTTACTGTAAAAGGGAGCGCCACACAACAGCAGATTCTTATCCGTGAAGAGGATATACGAATTATTCTCAGTGAAGTACGTGATATATTTATGTCCCAGCCTATGCTACTAGAGATTAAACCACCAGTGCGTATCTGTGGTGATATTCATGGACAATATTATGATTTGCTGCGCATTTTTGAGAAGTGTGGGTACCCACCGTACTCAAATTACTTATTTCTGGGCGATTATGTGGATCGGGGTAAGCATAGTGTAGAGAGCATCACTCTTCTCTTCTGTTACAAGATTGTGTACCCTGAGAATTTCTTCCTACTCCGCGGCAACCACGAGTGTGCAAGTATCAACAAGATGTATGGTTTTTTCGATGATGTGAAGCGACGGTACAATATCAGGCTTTTCAAGGCCTTTACTGATGTGTTTAATACGATGCCGGTATGCTGCGTGGTTGGTGAAAAGATAATCTGTATGCATGGTGGACTAAGTCCTGATTTAACGTCTCTTGCTGCTGTGAATGAGATAGAACGACCCTGTGATGTGCCGGATAGTGGCATCTTGTGTGATTTACTGTGGGCCGACCCTGAGGATGAAGTGAAAGGATTTCTTGAGAGTGACCGCGGTGTGAGTTATCTCTTCGGCGAGGACATTGTGGGCGACTTCCTGGACATGGTAGACATGGACCTGGTGGTGCGTGCCCACCAAGTCATGGAGCGTGGCTACGGTTTCTTCGCGAGTCGGCAATTAGTAACAATCTTCTCCGCTCCAAACTATTGCGGTGAGTTTGATAATGATGCGGCTGTCATGAATGTTGATGAAAGACTACAATGTTCCTTTCTCATTATTCCGGCTCGCTGAAGAGTTTTTGCTTGAAGAAAG